GTGGGAGCGGGGTGGGCAGCTAAAGGCCACAGCGAGCACAGTGTGGCTGTAAAGAGCATGAGCAGCTTTCTGATCCTACCTGGGACGACTGAAAACAGGCCTCGAAGTGAAAAGAAGGGTGGGAAGCGCACGCGCACAGGTACAATAGGTGAGGTGGCGTAGGCACAGTTTCAACACATACCCCTTGATGTCTTTTGAACTCTGTTCTATTTAAACGCTTTATGTTTTTAGAGAAAGAAATACAATAAAATATCTAAGTAAGTGAATAAGTAACACCAGTCCAGATGGTGAACCTCCTTCCTGGTGGAGCACTTGGCAGCAGGTGTGGCCCTGGTTGATGTGTCTGAAGGCAAGGGAGGCTGCTCATTTTATCCATTCCTGGCATTTAAGGGGCACTAACCAAGGGCCTGGGACTACAGAGAGGCACTGCAAAAGACACTGGATCCTGGAATAAGAGCGTCGTGCTGCTAATGGATGAATGATGCCTTGTTTTAGAATATGATGAAGGTAAGACAAAAAAATTGGTATTGAGTCTACTGGCTCTTTGGGGGTGGAAAAAATACAAATTAGATCCCTGCCTCATACTTATAAAAAACAGAGTCCAGATGGGATTAAGAGCCAATAGAAACAGAATTATATCAGTAGTGAAAGAAAATAGAACACAGTATTTTTATGAGTCTTAGGGCAGGAAGGCCTTCCTATTCAGGATAGAAAGATTCTATTACAATCATTTCTCTGTGCTATCCAGTCAACTTTTCTGTAAATCTAAATCTATTCTCAAATTAAAAGTTTATTTAAAAAAGAAAAAAAAATTCAGTTCACTGAAAGATAATCATGCACAAAGGTTTAAAAAGGGGAATTTACAGCCTTAGGAGAAAGTGCAGTGTTTCTGAAACACACAATGAGCAATATATGAATCAATATAAGAGAAAGATAAATGACCAGATGGAAAAATGGGCAAGAAATAGCAATGATAATTTACAATAAAAGAAACACAAAAGGCTAATAAACACATGAGAAAATTCTCAATTTCACTGGCAATCAGGGAAATAAAAATTAGAACCAAGGATGGCATTTTTCACTTACCAGATTGACGAAAACTTAAAGACAAAACTGAGAACACACAGTATCAATGACAATGTGGAGAAACAGGCATTTTCACATCCATTTAGTGGTATTAGTCATTGGCACAGTTTTTTTTGGAATCCAAATTTTAAACGTGCCTACATTAGGACTACAATTTCAAATACTACAAGGAATTTATCCTATACAAATATCTGCATGAATGTGCAAAGGTCGTACGCATGGATAGTCAGTGGACAAGGGTCCTGAGTTGGGGGCCTGACTGTACGTACATACACTAGGGAACACTGTGCAGCTATGGAAAGGAATATCCTTCATGATGTGTATGCATCTGCATGTATACAGGGGTATGTATATGTGTGTATAGCCCAGTTCTTTCAAACTTAGAGCAAAAACTTCCCTTTCAGGACTGTAGAGAATACAGTCCTGCACACTGTGGAGGGAGGTGAACAAACTCAACCCACAGGGAGATATGCCCCCATCCACTGGACCTGGCCTCCATCTCGCCTCTCTCCTTCCTTCTCCCACTTTAGGCCACAGTCTTCGGGGATTTTCTGATCTTCCCTGAGCAGACCACTCTCCAGCTCCTCTCCTCTCCTGGCTGACCCAATTTACAGCTCCTCCCACCTAGAATGACACCCCTTCCCACCCTTCCAACCACGCCTGTCCGGGGGCCCACCTCAGGAAGACCCCCAGCCTTCAAGGTACCTCCTTGCAGCTCCTGGCACTGGCCCCCTGTAGCTCCTTCCCCAGAGTGGCTTCTAGGGGCAGCTTGGAGTTTTATTTATTTTTATTTATTTTTCCATCCTCACCTGAGGATATTTTTCCCATTGCTTTTCAGAGAGAGTGGAAGGGGGAGATAGAGAGAAACATCGATGTGAGAGAGACACATCGACTGGTTGCTTTCCATATGTACCCAGACCCAGGCCGGGGATGGAGCCTGCAACTGAAGTACCGAACCTGGGACCCTTCAGTCCACAGGCTGATGCTCTAACCACTAGGGACAGCTGGGAATTTTAATTCAGGCTCATGTCCCCTGGGCCCAGCTGGGTTTGATCATGCTGAGCCCAACTCTAGTCCTAAGATGGGGGCTCAATCTCCTTCCTGTGAATCTGAAGGAGAGGCAGCCATAAGCAAAGAAACAAGTAGTAAGATCTTTTCGAGCAGAGATAAACGCTGTGTAGAAAGTCAAGGCAGTGGCAAAGAAAAGTGGGCAGGGATGCCACAGTCACAAGCTAATTGTGCAAGACAATTGTTTTGCTAATAAAATCATGGTAAGAAAATTAGGCTTTTTTTTGTTTGTAATGAACTCATTAGTGAGTTATATTTTTAGTTTTCTCCTGGGTTTTAGAGAATGTTGAGTGTGGGAGGTTTGTTGAGACTGATGGGGATGGTTCTGGATCCCCATGCCCCACCTGTCACAGGGGCGGGATGAGTGTCAGAGGGAGGAGGCAGAGGTAGAGAAGCACCCACCTGCTCCGGGAGGTCACGTCCGGGAAGAACTGCACAACGGCCAGCAGATTGTGGTGGTGATCTGACACCAAGCTCAGGGCACAGCACAGCTGCTGGAGCTGTGGGGAAAGCCAGCACCATGGTAGGTGAGGGAGGGGCTCCCTTCCACCTTGACTCTCCACCAGCCCACTCGGAGGGTAAGAGGGCCAGTCATAGAAGCCAGGGACAGGAGAGATGTTCCCTGGCATTCCAATGACCTCATGACCTCGGAGCAGTGCTGTCCCCATCCAGGGTATGCTAAGGGTAACTCGGGACCTTCTAGAGGAGGTGGGGCTGGGGTTGGGCCCAGGGCTCAGTGTACCTTCCCTGGCCATTCCTGGATGTTCTCGAGGAGCAGCAGCAGGAGCTGCTGGAGGTCGGTGTTGGGCAGCAGGCGTAGCCTCATGTCCAGGCCAGCTCTGCACAGCAGCTCTATCAGGTCCAAGAGGTTTCCATCAGTGGTGGCCTCTGGCTGTGCTTGGGCACATAGTGTCAGGAACTGGAGAGCAAGAGAAAACACGAGGGCAGTGGTAGTCTTCCTGGGAGATAGGGTAGGCAGCAGGGGTGAGCACTGTGAGCCCCTTGGCCATGTTGGGTAGGAGCTGAGGTAAGCAGGGAGGCCAGAGGCCAGACCCCATGGGGTCCTCAGGTGGCTGGTGATGGCGTGGAGAGTGTGAGCGTTCCGGTGTCAGTGCTGACAGGCCATATAATGCCTGCGTGGTGCTGAGCACACTGTCGGTGCTACATGGAGCTCACTGAGCTACCTGGCTGAACAGGGCTGGACTGTGAGCAGAGAGAGCCATTTAACTCACCTTATAGATATAGCTCAGGTTGATGTCCAAGGCGGTCTCCTGGGGGGCGTCCCGCTGCTCACGCCAGCTCAGGGAAGCCTCACTTTGAAGCACTCTTAAGGCAAGGCAGAAACAAAGGGAAGGAAATAGGAGGCATGGGCACCAGGGGAGAACTGAGGCAGAGAGGGGGCCCGTACTCGCTCAAGAGCACAAGCCCAGGATGATCCACTCAGCCTGGGCCCCATGTGTGCTGGTCTCTCCTGCTGTGTAACAAATTACCCCCAAAAGCAGAGTCTTGAAAACAGCATTATTCTCTCACACAGCCTCTGAGGTTCAGGAATGCAGGAGCAACTCAACTCAGGGTTCTGGCTCAGGGTCTCTTAGGAGGTTGTCCCCAAGATGTTGGGGGATGGGGCTGCTGTCTTAGGCTTGGTTGGGCAAGGGGAGCTACTCCCAAGCTCACTCACATAGTCAGCAGGCTTCAGCTCCTTACCTCTCCACAGGGCTCCTTGACATGGCACCTTACTTGCCCTAAAGCGAGTGACAGGGCGGGGGGTAGGGGGGAGATATGCCTGGGACAGAAGCTGCAGCCTTTCACACCTAACCTTGGAGGTGACATCCCACCACATTGCTGATCACTCTTAGCCACACCGGGCCAGCATGACAGCTACCATTCTGGTCAGTCCCCTCCAGTGGCAGTTTTCAGGGACTTGGAAACCAGAAAACCATAGCCCATTATCCCAAACAGTCTTCCTCAAAGGAGTTTTCTGTCCAGCCAGGTGCAGTGAATGCCCCAAAAGTACCCGAAGTCAGTAAGTCAGGTGAAAATCAGAGCATGACGACCCTTGAAAACCTTTACAGGCGTCACACTAACATGCCTTGTACTGACAAGCCCAGTACAGGCCCTGTTCCCGAGTGAGGGAACAGACCTGGTGGAGTCCAGATGAAGTTAGAGGCTAGGGTCATATAAAAAACCCTTGAAGACTGGAGTCACACTCAGGGTGGCAGGACACTCCCAGAGACAGCAGGCCGCACCGCCCTCTGCACAGGCTCCGCAGGACAAGCTCACTGGATAGAGGACTGAGCAGGACGCCTGCCCTCAGGGATTCTGTGTGGCCAAATGTATATTGTTGATTTCAAGTAAGTGAGGTGAGTTTATGAAAAGGCTCCCTTTGTGTCTCATCCACTGTTTCACTCTTGTTGACTAGCCCGGAGTCCTGCTAGCAGCGGGCTCTGGATAAATGAAGACGCCGATAATGCCAGCAGCACTGCCGACAACACTGGCCACTGCCATCCCGCACACTCCAGGGAAAGGTCTTTGCTCTTCTTTACGTGGCACTCGTGTGGCTTCTCAGAGGGAAAGGAACTAGGGAAGTCGGTGCCAACAATCAAAGTTGGGGGCACAGGGCAAAGGCTGGGTCTGCCGTTCTTCCAGATCTTAGTGTTCATTAGAGCCAGGGGATGGGTGAGGCTGGCACTTAGGTCTGGGCGCATGTGGGCTGTGCCAGTCCAAGGGGAGTAGCTCCTGTGAGCAGGCCCAGGGTAGGCAAACGTGGGGGAGGTGCTTTCAGATTTCCCAGAGGGTGGGGCATCAGAGTGGGCTGGGGCCTCTGTCAGAGAGCAGTGGGCTTGCAAACAGTTTGGTGCTGCCCAGGGGAGGTGGAGTGCAGAACACGGTGGAGTGCAGAGATGGTGACGTCTTCTCCCTGCTGGCGAGGGGAAGTGCGGCTGTGACAGAGCCTACTCATCCTTGGGAGGGAATGCCAGCCCCCCAAGTGGAGAGGGGACAGCCTCTGGGACACTCCAATGTTTCCCTGGGCCACCTCTCCTGGGGACCAGCGGACAATATAGCAGGGTCCTCCATTCCCTGCCCTGAGGAGCCACTTGACTGAACCGTCGGCGTCTGGGACTGCTATTCTGGGATGCAGCACCAGCTGATCCGGGGCCTCTACCACCGCTTGCAGCAGGAGGCCATGGAGCACAGCAATTCCTGGCCTAGCAACCCTACTCCCCTCCTGCACTCAGCAGGTAGGAGTGAGCCAATGTGACTCCATGAGCAAAGCAGCCTCATCTGTGATGCTCCTGAGCCCCTGTCCTCGGCCCTCCTGGTCCTCGACTGGCTAGGTCAGGCCTCAAAGCCCCGCGAGCAGCACCAGGAGCTGGAGTCTGGGTCACAATGACTGTTCTACCCTCACTGAGTAATCTTAAGAGGTGCCCATCACTCAGTTTCTGTATTTATTTTCCCAAGGGTTGAAAAAATTAGTTACTAACTGTAAGGAGCTCCAACATTCTCAGCAGAAGGAGGGTAAAGAAGTGGATGGGCACCACCACCACCACCACCAAGAGCTGCTCTGAGTCGGTCAGAGGCCCCACACGCAGGCTGCTGGCAGGGTGCTCCCTGAGGTCTGCCTCACTGAGCCAAGCCCGGCCTGTCATCTCTGCTCCTAGGTGCTGAGGAATCGCTATAAGCTTATGGAAAGGGAGGGAGAGGTAACTTTTACCTGGATAGAATCACACTATCCCAAGAGGGCAAGTGACCAACAGGGCGCCCTTTCACTGGATTGCCATTTAGTCACTCTGCTTGGCCTCTGCACCAACTTACCCTTTCAGAGGCCCCAGTGGAGGAAGGCTTCCAGCCCCAGGCAGTGGCACCAGGCCTGCTGCTCTTCAGAGGCCAGGCCTGTGTATCTGACCAGGGCTCTGCAGCTGGGTTTTGTGATCAGTAGCAGCCCTTCTCTCTTCCCAGGTAGGACTAGTAGTCATGTGGCAAAGCCCTCTGAGAGTGCTGGAGTCTCGTTTGGTGTTCACACTCCAGTCCCAACTCCTTTGCTCCCCCCACCCCAACATCTTCCTGACTTCTCCCGCCCCAGCCTCATCTCTGGCAGAGGGCTACTCTATGTGCAACAGGCGGACATCAGTCCACTACAGAAGGGCTGTGTCTTTCTGAAAGGAAATCTCAAAGCTCTCCATAAGATGGTGATGGGTTTAAGAAAATCTGAGATTAAGAACAGATGGTGGAAGACCTGAATTTCTCATAGCAACAGGAAAGGCAGCCAAGTCACAGGGCCACTCGCAGAGACTGCTCGGCCCGTGTTTCCAGCCTTGGCCATCATGAGGTTCTGTGGATGCCCCGCAGGAGACCCAGAGCATCTGTTCTGTCCTAGATGGGGCATCCCTGGAAGTCGACAGAGAAGAGGTGTGACTGAGGTGGACCCAGCTGGCAGGGGACGAGCCTGCTCTGAGCCCAGTCAGGAAGAAGAGGAGGGTGGTGGGGAGAAGGCAGCCAGCCCCGCAGTTGCTCTTGTGGCCCATGTATCCAGAAGGAAGGCACACCCTTCGTGGAGGAGACGCTGGAACCTGCTTCCTGCACACCCTAGACATGTCATCTTTCCACCTTATGACTCCCAGAGCTTCCCTAAGCTCAGTTGCCAGCCAGCCAGCCACGAAACACACCTGAGCATCTTTACCACTGCTGCCCCGCAACGGAGGTCACAGGAGCGGTGTCCAGGACCTGTCTGCTTCTCTAAAGGAAGCTGTGCCCAAGCAGATAAACCTTCCCAGGCCTGGTGATCTGGCAGTGGTCCCACCCTGCTCTTACAGCGTTGTAACAGGGAGATTACTCCTGTAGCCATTGCCTGCTCCTCGGGGCCAGTTCTAAATCCTCTTGGGAAATGGTGTCAAGTGAAAGCCCAAGGTGTGGGGCCCAAGGAAAGAGGCAGAGCTGTCGCTGAGCAGCTCTAGTGGTGCTCTGGGCCTGGCCTGAGGATGACGTGGCTCTGCCTGCCTCCTGTGCAGGGCTAACTGCACCTGGCAAAGCTGAAGCCTGCATGCTGGGGGTGTTCCCAGATATCTGAGATGACATGTTCCAGGGCCCACCTGCTTGCCTCCTGTGGCCTCCAGGCAAGTTGGATTTGTCCTGAGGCATCAGTGGCAGGAAGCCACAGAGAAGGGAGGGGCGAGGGCAGTGGCTCTGCAGAGTGCAGAGTGGACTGAGTGGTTATAGGTCTCCAGAACCACCTCCCACTTTCCAAGCGGACACCAAGTGCTCATCAGAACAGCTGGAAGGGGCTCTTCCAAAATCCATAGCACCCCCACCCTACTTCCGACGTGCATTTGTTTTCTGAGTGTAATTCTCTCCTGAGTCATCCTAGCTGGTGGTGTGATTGCAGCTCTGTGCTGGGAAAGAGGCTTATCACACCAGCTACGCAGCTACAAGGGGGGGTGGGGAGGCTGGAATTGCAGGCAGCGCAGACTTGGGGCAGTTACAGCAGAGCCGGTGTGGTTTGGTTGGCAGACGATTATGAAACACAGTTGTGGAACAGGTTCTTTAGAAAACTTGGGCTTTCCCCACAGCAAAGGAAGGGGGCCAGGAACCTTCTGGGACGATGGACTGTCTGCTGGAGCGAGATTCCCATGTAACAGACCGTTCAGGGTTCTAAATGCTCTAAATGTTATATCTCAAACCAACTTCTGAAAGAATTCTCCAGAAAGAGGTTAGATGTGCCATAACCTGTAGGACAAGCTCAAGAGATATACAGCTTTTACAATCCAGGTCTAGTCACCGTCCATCTGACTGATGCATATTGTATGGTTCTGTTCCTAGAGGGCAGGGGCCATGATTCTGCAAATTAGCATCACTGTACCCACCCAGCCCAGTGCACAAAGGGTAACCCACAAACAAACCGACATTGTGGAAATCATGTGTACAACTGTGTCCTGCTGGCCATGAGTTGATTTTAGGTGTGAGCCAGACGAGAGGCCTGGAGAAAGACTGGGACAGGTCTTGGAAGAGGTGGGGCAGCGAGGGCTCTGAGTCAGGAAGGGGCAGGAAGAGATGCCAACCAAAGCAGCAAGAGGCGCACACCTGGTTCTTTGTGTACCGCTAGGTCTGGGAGCCTGGTGTTCACAAGAGGTTCTCAGGTATTCATGTGGGCTGTCCTGTAATATCCTGATTCTGGCTTCACTGTGTGGGCTACAGCCGAGTTTAGTCTTTTTTCTTTTCTTTTTTTACTTAAAAAATGCTCATAATTTTATATAAAAATCAGAAGAAATTTTTCTTCTTCTAGCTTATAAATGCTCACTGAGCTGAGGATCATTCCACGAAGAATGAAACCGGTAGCTCTGTGCAGTGAATGGCTAGCTGTGTTACATTTATAGAACAGGATATACTTTAAACTAGTATTTCCCAGCCGGAATATATTTTTAGAAGAATCTTTCGTTTTGGGCGGGGTAATACTTTGTTTTGTTTCTTAGCATTTGTACTGAGGTGTAATTGGTATGGAAAAACCTGGCCCTATTTAACATATACACTTTGATGGGTCTGAACTGAGTCCTGGACCTGGTGAACGCAAAGAGAGGACATGGGGAAGGGGCCGGACTCACCTGCTACTGTGCTGAGAGGGTGCCCCCGGGTACAGAGCAGGGCTGTGGGCACCCAGGCGAAAGAGCGCCTCCGTGATCTCTTGCAGCGAGGGGCACCACACGTCCTCATCTGTCAGGCCAGAGGAAGGCAGGGTTAAGGGGTGCAGAGGACAGGGTGGCTCCTCCCATGGGAGGGGCTGAAGGAGATGAGCCTGGCTGAAGGGGACCAGTTTCTGTGTTCTGTGGCCCAGGAATCCCCTGGGGAAACAAACACCCAGTGGGTTTCAGACACTCGCTGGAGCTTTGGGAACCTGGATTTTCATTCTCTGATCTTTGAGCCATGGCCACCTGGACGTGCAAGGGTCCATGGTGATGGTGCCCTGACCATCTCTGTCAGGCAGTCAGCAGGGCACTGAGCAGCTCAGAGCTGAGCCAGAGGACAGCGCGATGAGCCAGAGGACAGCGCGCTGATCCAGAGGCTTCAAAACTGCAAGACTCAGAACACGCCCCACTCAGGGCCCCAGGCTCTCTGCCACAGAGGGCCACCTCGCTGTGATATTCTGGGTTTCCCAGGCCCACCATCCCTGCTGGCGTTTTCTCAGCAAGCTTAGGCTGTGAGGATCATCTTCTCTTGACCAATTTACAAAAACATGAGTGATAGTCTGACCCCATGAACAAAGGCGAAAACCTTACATATTCAGGGCTTTTGCTTTTGTGAAACTATTTAAGGACATTTTCAGAAACAGAACAGAAAAATAAAAACCGTGTGGCTGGGAGTGTTTCTTAAAGATGAAGTGTTACCAGGGCCTCTCTGCACATGATGCCCCCCCATGTC